GGCAGGTTCTGTTCCTTGCGTGCCGACGGCGCTTTGGTGGCGCTGCCATAATCCTGGATGGCCTTGGGCTCGTTGGTGTGGTAAGAGCCCTTGTAGCGGTGGTGGTAGAAGTAGAGCAGCACCAGCAGCCCTGCCATCAGCAGGAGCAGGAAGATCACGACTGCAGGGAAGAGACAGCAGTGAGGGACTGGGGAGGGGCTGCAAGGCAGTGCCAGTGTGGAATAGCAGAGGCTTCACTTACACCCAATGATGATCCCAATCCAGCCGTCGTCGTGCACGTGGGGGAACTCTGCAGAGACAGAGTTAGCAGCTGAGCCCAGGCTGCAGCAAGGTCTCACGCTGGAGCTTCCCTTCTGCAGCTGGTGCTTGACGAGGGCTCCATCCCCACCAGGGTCCCACCACAGCACTCACCTGTGGCCATGTACCAGGGGTCCATCTCAGGAGGGATAAGGATGGTGCTGAGGGGGAGCATTGAGGCACAGCTCGACTCCACCAGTTCCCCCCGGATGCTGTAGGGCCGCAAAGGACTGGTGGGGTGGAAGATGGCTTTGAGGGGCACGAGGGTGTTGAATTTCACCCCTGAGAGGCAGCCTGAGAAGCCAGGTGTGTTGTAGCGCTGGATCTCGGGGTCAATCACGCCAGTCTCTGTGGGGCCACAGAAGGAGATTACTCATCCCTCTCAGAGGGCAAGGGCCATGCTGTGCAGAGGAGACCCCAGAGACCCCAGCATGGGACCCCGTCTGAGGGCAGGACCCCACTCACCCATCACACGACCCAGGTAGAGGTTTTTGGGTGAGTCCAGCTTGCTGTCCACAAAGAGGGAAAACTGCTGCTCCATTATGGGGAGATAGTCCACCTGGGAGGTAAATGTGTAGCATCAGTGCCCACAGAGCCACCCTGCCCATGGGCCCTCCCAGCCTGACCTGAAGCCCCCAGTCCCCACTGGGAGGGCGCCCCAGCCCGAACCTGAGTGTACAGTGTGCGGTGCAGGCGGGTGATGTTGACACGGTGGGGCCGCCCGTCCGTCACTGGCTTGTTGGTGAGGGTGAAGACATAGGGGCTGGTGCCCAGCTGGTAGCGCAGCTGTAGGCTCCCTGTGGGCAGCACAGGCTGTCAGCAGGGCTGGACCTCTCAGTGGGCACCTCCAGCCCGTCTATAGGGTTGGAAAGTGGCATCCAGAGAGAGGAGCATCCTGTGCAGCCTCAGCACCAGATAAGGGTCCCCGTGCAGGCTCTGGGTGAGACCCAGGGGAGAGGGCCCTGCCCTCACCATCATCCTTGATGAGCACGGCCATATAATCCTTGACAAAAGTGCTGACGTAGAGCAGCACGGCGGGTGCTGAGGTGGTGCTGAAGCTGAAGCTGACCTCCTCGCTGGTGAGGTTGTAGCCAGGCAGGGGCTGCCAGGGGCTGCTCACAATGCTGGCAAACTCACGGGCGGCGTACAGCGACATGGGCAGGATGTTGTACCGCACCCAGGTGCCCTCCTCGAAGTAGCCACCGATGTCTGTGGGAGAGCCTTCGGGGTGAGGGGAGCGCCGGCTCCTCCGTCCCTCCCACCCCGCGGAGCACAGCCACTCACCGTGGTTGCAGAAGGGCCCGCTGAAGGCGGAGATGCTGCAGTTGCAGGTGTAGTGGCTGTAGCGCTCGACGCAGAGCCCGCTGTTCTGGCAGGGCACCGGCGGGTCCTGGCAGTAGCCGGTGCAGTTGACCCGCACACCTTCGGTCTCGTTGGCTTTGCCCTCCAGGTTGAGCGTCACCCCGTTCATCCGCAGTCCCCGCAGGCACCCCAGGAACGGGCGCATCTTGTGCTCTGCTGCGCCTGCAGCGGGGCCAAGACTGAGTGCCCTGTGGCACGTGGGGACCCGGGGGTGCAGGGGCATGGCCAGGGGCTCTCACCGACGTAGAGGGGCCTGTCAAATTCCAGGCGGACGAAGCTCTGTGGGGGGAATGGCCGCACCACCCAGGGCAGCTTGTCCACCCGCAGCCGCGCCAGCTTGACGTTGAGCTCAGCCTTCACCTGGTGCCACTCATCGTCGTTCCAGGGTACCACTGACCGCACCGTCAGGTTCTCGTCCCCATTCCCGATGTCAAATATAAATGCCACGTCCCTAGTGGCTGCAAGAACGCGATGCTGAGAAGAGGCCCCAGTCCTTCTGCCCCCAACAGACCTGCACCCTCTGCCCCCCCGTACTGTTGAGCTCAATGCGGATGTAGTTTCGGTAGCCTGGGTTCTCCAGGAAGACTCCAGACTGGGCAGTGGTCTTGAAGTAGAAGGAGATGTCAAGGCTGTGGTTGGCCTGGAAGGTGGGGAAGATCAGGGCTGCACCCCTGTTGAAGGAGACGGTGTTCCAGGTGTTGCCTGTGGGGAACAGGAGGGGCAGTGAGGGATGGGCAGGGTCCCTCCATGTGGGACACCACAGGCAGGTGTAGGCACTCTGCAGGCAGGGGATGTTCTGTGGGGTCGGTCACTTACGGTCTCCATAGCACCGTAGGGGCCCCAGAACGAACTGGGCTTCAGAGCCAGTGCGGTTGGTGTCTCCAACTACGACCTGGGTGACGGGCAGGTGGTCCACAAAGGTCAGCAGACCCTTGTCTGTCCTCCTGCAAATGTGAGCGCATCAGAGGGGCCATGAGGTGTTTCTGTCCCTTCTCCAGCCCACAGCCCTGTCACCCCCATCTGAGTGCCCCAGAGTCTGTGCCCCCCATGGCTGCAGCCTCCACCCCACAGCTCCTGTTCCCCTCACCAAATGGCATGGTCAGCATCACAGTTGCAGAAGTACTGGGGATCAGCACAGTTCTTGTCCAGCCCGCAGGCGCAGCGCTGGATGCCCGGCTGCGAGCCCCCCCAGTAGTAGTGCCGCTCATCGTTCCGACCCATCCAGAAGCTGAAGGGCAGCCCGGCTGCAGGCACAGAGGAGGGTCAGGACACGGTTCTATGTCATGGCCCTGCAGCACAGCCCCCCTTTCTCCTGGCACTCACAGGGGGTGTTGAGCAGGCGGGAGTTGTAGCAGTGGAGCTCAATGCGCTGCTCGCAGTACTCAGAGGCATTGGCCAGGGCTGAGACCTCAGCCCAGGAGGCATTCCAGTACTCCACAGCCCCCAGGTAGGGCTGGTCCACGCTGGAGCCCGTCACCCGCGTCGCGTAGTGACGGTTGTGCCGGATGATGGTCCACGCTCGGTCCTCTGCAGTGAAAGGGGAGCTTTAGGACTTGACCCCTAGGACACCCCTGCTCTCTGTATCCTGTTCCAGCTCCTTACACAGATAAGGACTGGTTCCCAGGAGCACCAGACAGAGGTCCCCTCTGCCCTCCTGCTACCCCCACCTCGGATGTCACAGTACACCGTGAAGGGCTTGAGTGGCCCGCTGCCATCTGGGTCAATGGTGTAGTTGCCCGAGGTCTTCCCGCTGACCCGGTAAGCATCGCAAGTTTCCTTGTAAAGGGCTGGAAGAGAAGAATGGGGTGGAAGTCAGTCAAGGGAGGCACCAGGCAAGAGTAGGGGCTGCAGGTGCCCCTGTTGTCCCTGACTCATGAGGCTCCAGACTCACATTTGTGGCAGGTCTCCCCCTTGTACCCTGTCAGGTCACAGATGCACATGAAGTCATCCCAGGATTGGATACAGCGGCTGTCATGCTCACACAGGTTTGGGGTGCACCTGAGGGTACAGAGGGCTTCTGTCACAGCCTCCCCAGTGCCACCCCTCCCAGGCAGCACCCTTGTCCCGGTCCATACCTGTCTGTGATCCCACAGACGTTGAAGAACACGTTGTGGTACTGTGCCAGCCGGTGCTGTGCCAGCAGCTCCACGTCCACGGGCTGCATGTCTACGTTCAGCATCTGCAGGCAGCCGTGGAAAGCCGTCTGGTTTGACCGGCAGCCAGTGACTGAGGCCGGCTTGGGGCAGCCTGCAAGACAGATCGGGGTGAGCAGCCCTCAGGCACCGACTGTCCCGGCCCCCACCCTGCTGCCCACCTCCGAAGAAGTACTGGCTGCCAGTGCGCAGCTGGAAGGGGTGCGCCACCCGAAACTCGGCACCATCATCATCGTCAATGGTCACCACAGCTGAGCCATCCCGGGCCACCAGGTGCACCGAGTGCCAGAAGCCATCATTCAGGCGATGCCCTGTGTGGAGAGGAAGATGCGTGGTGATGCTTCACTGCCAGACTGACCCTCCAGCCCCATGCTGGCTCCCCAGCCCACCTGCAGCAAACTCCAGCTTCTTCTTGCCGGGCTGGGCGATGGAGACGTTGACCTGCCCCTCACTCAGCACCATCTCGAGGGAGCCCAGGCGGTCAGCGAAGCCGGTGTAGAGCAGGAGCCCAACGGTGTCCCAGGAGCGGAAGCGGAAGCTGACGGCCAGGCGGTTCCTCCGGGGGATCCCCGGCACCCGCACGTAGTTGTTGATGCCAGCGAAGGTGATGGGGGTGGTCAGCTGGTCCTGGCAGTAGTGGCCCACGTTGCCCTGGGAGTGACCACGGGAGGGGTGAGGAAGGGAATGTTCCCATAGAGGGGAGGCCCTCTCACCCCCACAGTCCTGGCCTCAATCATGCCCAATTGATCCCAATGCCTGGCAGAGCCAGGCAGGCGCCCCAGGCCAGGGACAACCTTGCACGGTCAATCTGGCACCGCTTGGCTGAGCACAGCCGCTGCCCGGCCCCGCATCACCCCGCAGCGGGCAGGGAACCTCGCCCCAGGGAAGGGGTTACCCCACAGTGGGGCTAAGGACACCCAGGAAAGGGGTCTCCCACAGCAAGGAGAGGACTCCCAAAAAAGGGGCCACCCCACAGGCTGGACCTCAAAGCGAATGTTGGGCCGCCGGTGCCGGGCCAGCTCGGCGATGTTGACCCCGTTGAACATGATGTTCTCCACACAGCCCCGGAAGTTTTGCCGGTAGGTGAGGTGCTGCTTGTCGTGGTCAATCACCCCTCCAAAGAATACCTGGGAGGCAGAGGGAGGGTGTCAGCCTCTCTCTCTCTGGAGGACACCACAGATCAACATCCTGGCAGCCCCCTGGCCCAGTGCACCCACCTCAGTTTCGAGGTCAAGCTGGTCGAAGGTGCCACGGCAGCGGAAGCGCTTGACCTCTCCGTCCAGCGTCAGGTTGACGTAGTGGCCGAGACGCTCAATGTGCAATGAGTGCCAGTGCTGGTCATCCAGGAGGCTGCCCACCGCCACCGTTGTGTGGCCCTCACTGGCGTGCAGTGGGCTGCTGCCTGGGGAGGACCAGCATCAGCTGGTGGCCCCCTGGCCCCACGCCCCTGGTCCCTGGCCCCAGCTCACCTAAGCTGATGTGCAGGAGGAGCTGGGCCTGCTTGAGCTCCACTGTGATGTAGTCTCCCTGTGAGCCCTCCCCGTGCATCAGCACCCCATCCTGCTCCAGTGTCTTGAAGTTGAAGGAGATGTCATCCTCGAAGGTACTGACCCTCTTGGCTCGGAAGCGGTAGGAGATGGCATCGTCCCCATCAAAGTAGAGCACATGGGACCCTGGGGAGAGCAGAGCAGCCCCACCCATGTCACTGCCTGCAGCAGCAGGTGCCCTGGCATGGGCAACACACCCTCTGCCATGGCTGTTTGGGCACAACCCCCTCTGAGAGAGTTTTCCAGGTGTACCAGAGCCAGGATCCTGCCACACAGGGCTGCTGGAGCCCCTGGCCAGGTACTCACGGTAGGGGCAGCCGTAGAGGCCGAGGCGCAGTCCAATCTTCCCACGCGGGTTCCAGGCCACCGGAATGATGCGAATGTATCGTGCGAGGATGGGGTAATGCAGGTCATGCCGCACCACCCCGCTCTCATTCACGTTCCCAAAGAATGTCTGGGGATGAAGGGTCACTGTCAACACCTTGCTCCAGGCCAGGGGTCTCTATTCCCCTCAGAGGGCCCCCTCCCACGGGGTAGCCCGGGCTCCCCCATACCCAGTTGCTGCCCTGCTGGAAGAAGGGTTTCCAGCTCGTAGGGTGGTCTCCATAGAGCACAATGTAGCGTGTGAGCCAGTCATAGGTGTTGAAGGTTCCCTGCGTGGCCACTGCGTTGATCCGGTGCTTTTGCATCAGGTCGATCTGGAGCCAGGGCTGTTTGTCCCGGGGGTCGGGGGACCAGCCGCTGGTGCCTGCGGGGGGAGAGCTCAGCGGCTCGGCTCCCGACTGAGCGGGAGCTGCTTGCCCGGCCCCACCACAGCACCTGACGGGACCCCTCAGCCCCACGAGAGGCAAAACCTGGCAAGGGACACCCCCTGCCCACCCCCCCTGCCCCGCCCGC